AAAACCAATCGCAACCTTTGGTAGGAAATACGTCTATCTGAACGTAGGTTTACGCAAACCTATTCGGTGGATTTTCCTTCTCGCTGACGTTACAATGCCCATCATTGGCACGGACCTACTTAATCATCATGATTTACTCGTAGACGTCCGCCGAAAACGACTGATTGACAATACTACTAGTCTGTCTATCAAAGGCATCAGCTACATAGGCCCTAGTTTGTCACCCGTTAAGATAAAGGCAATTCTTGATCCAACTTTTCAACCTATGTTGACAAGTATCCGGAACTTAATTGCCCGTCGAACGACCTACCGTGCATAACCAGCAATGTTATGCACCACATCATTACCACAGGACAACCTGTGACATCTAAAGCACGACGATTAGCTCCTGACAAACTGAGAATCGCCAGGAATGAATTTGACCATATGCTTACCCTTGGCATCATTCGACCTTCGAATAGCCCATGGGCATCCCCACTTCATATGGTTCCGAAAAAGGATAGCAATGATTGGCGACCCACCGGTGATTACCGGCGAGTGAATGCCAAAACAACCCCTGATTGCTACCCGTTGCCTCATATACACGACTTGACGGCAACCTTATCCGGCGCGACTATATTCTCCAAAATCGACTTGGTTAAAGCGTATAACCAAATCCCGATGGCAACAGAAGATATCCCGAAAACGGCTATCATTACGCCTTTCGGACTTTTTGAATTTCTACGTATGCCATTCGGTCTCGGAATGCAGCCCAAACATTCCAACGCTTCATTGACGAAGTATTTCGCGGTCTCGACTTTGTATACGCATACTTAGACGACTGCCTCATTGCCAGTCCAGACAAGGAAACTCACCTTAGGCACTTGGACTTGGCATTTGACAGGTTACGCCAACATGGTGTTACCATTAATATTCAAAAGTGTCAAATCGGTGTTGACTCACTCGACTTTCTGGGTCACACTATTGACTGCAAGGGCATTCGCCCACTGGCTACTAAGGTCGAGGCTATACTGAACTTTCCAGAGCCACAGACGGTGAAAAGTCTCCGCACTTTTAACGGCTTAGTAAGTTATTATCGACGCTTTATTCCCAACTGTGCCTCTTTGATTCAGCCATTGACAGACCTCCTTCGAGGGAATAACAAGTCCATAGAACTTGACGCGTCTGCTCGAAATGCTTTTACCCAGATTAAAAAAGCTATTGCGAATGCCACACTTCTGATGTATCAGGATCCAACGGCACCGTTAAGTATCTCGGTTGATGCATCAAACACTGCAATCGGCGCAGTTCTACAACAGCTAGTTGACAATGAGTGGCAACCACTCGCCTTTTTCTCCGGCGCCTTCAATTAGCTGAAACGAAGTACAGCACATTCGGCAGAGAACTTCTGGCTATGTACTGTGCTATACGACATTTTAGACATTCGGTAGAGGGTCGTGAATTCATAATTTTTACGGATCACAAACCTCTGACGTACTCTCTGAACTCACCTTCAGATAAGTATTCACCCAGGGAATCACGACAACTGGATTACGTCTCACAGTTTACATCAGATATTCGCCATGTATCCGGAGTAAACAACACTGTGGCAGATGCCTTGTCGCGCGTTTGTTCCCTCACCCAAATCGACGGCATAGACCTTGTAAAACTGGCTCGTCTTCAAAAAGAAGATACCGCTTCAACATGAGTTGTCGAAAACAACTCTACAATTAGCTGAGAAACCCTTAGGTATGGGAAGAGATACTATTCTATGTGACATTTCCACGAGTACTCCTCGCCCCATCGTGCCTAAAAGTTATCGCCGTAACGTCTTCAATACGTTGCATGGCTTATCTCACCCAGGTATTCGAACTACTGTCAAGCTCGTAACTAGTCGGTTTTGTTGGCCTGGCATTAATAAAGAAGTAAGGGAATGGGCACACACGTGCTTAGCTTGTCAAAAGTGCAAGGTGATAAGACACACCAAAAGCCCACTTGGCACCTTTCTTCTCCCTGACGCTCGTTTCGAACACGTCCATATAGATTTGGTTGGACCCCTTCCTGAATCACATGGATATACTTATATTTTAACTTGCATCGATCGATTCACACGATGGCCGGAAGCAGTACCCATCAAGGATGTATCTGCTGAAACAGTCGCACGCGTCTTCGTAGAAAGATGGATCGCTAACTTTGGATGCCCATCTTCCATAACAACTGATCGCGGGCGGCAATTCGAAAGTGGCTTATTCTTCGCCCTGACTAAAATCATAGGTTGCATGCGATTTCGAACAACAGCCTACCATCCTCAAGCTAATGGTATGGTAGAACGTCTACACAGACAGCTGAAAGCTGGTCTGTCAGCTGCAAACACCACCCATTGGACTGAATCCCTTCCGTTAGTTCTCCTAGGGATACGAAACGCCTTGAAAACCGATGCTGGTTGTACTAGCGCCGAGCTAGTATATGGCACGACACTGCGACTGCCTGGTGAATTTGTTTCTCCCTCGAGCTTCCCACCAGTGGTAGATCACGCTTCATACGTCAGCAGGCTTACAAACGCAATGCGTTCAGTTAAACCTGCTCCCCTTCGTCCACAGTCCATTGATGTTTTCGTTCATCCGTGTTTGAAAACTTCTTCACATGTATTTGTTCGTCGCGACTCTGTGCGCAGACCCCTGGAACCCCCATGACGGACCTTATAAGGTAATTAAACGTTCTGATAAATTCTTTGTCTTGGACAAAAACGGCCGCGAGGACACCGTCAGCATTGACCGTCTGAAACCGGCTTACTTGGAGGGTAATCCTATTAGCATAGAGCTCAACGTACCCCAAAATCCACAAGTAACAGAAGATCGTTTAGACATCGATGAAGTCACTAGCACAGCGACAGCTACCGAACCTTCTATCGAGCCTCCCAAGAAAACCCGTTCTGGACGCACCGTAAGGTTCCCAGAATATCTGCACACTTATTTGACTTAACGAAGTCGTGTGATTCACGCAACTCATTCGTTTGTGGTACTAACTATTTTTTTTGACGTATCAATTTTTTTTATATACAGTACCACCGAACACAAAAATTTTTTTCAACAGTTCATGTAACATACACAAAAAAATTAATTAGATGTATTTTTTTCGATGTTCTGAACTTAGCATTATTTTACTGTATAGTAAATGCACATAATTTTTTTAACCAAAAAGCTCATTTCGTACATTTTCCTCGACATGGTTCTTAGCGTTCTTGTTTTCTTTTCCAGGTGCGACGGGCACTGGACAGGAAACAAACGAAGCACGGAATCCAACGAACAACAACAAGGAAGCTATGTACAAACACCCTATTAGCATAGGCAGACAAACCAGTAGGCATACCACCAAGCCGCTCGGAAGATTTTTTTCACCCGAAAGGGAACCATCGAGTTTTTTTACTTCCGGCTGGTTCTGTCTTAGGGTCCTCACCACCCCACTAGGGGGGAGTGAGCTGTAGCGGTAAATAATTCCCCAAAATTATTGACCACAGCAATCACTCATTGGATGCTGACCACCACTGTTTAAGTCGACTTGTTTAGCTGAAGGCTTCCGGTCAAGCATCCCCGCCATTTGGTACCCCGTCGTGTCACGTGCACGATCACTAGCTAGCTAAGCGTTCGTCTGACGGCTTGTTTTGGTCCCTAAATATATCACGTAGTTTGGACGATCAAATATTGGCTTTTGCTTTGTCTTTGGTACGCGAGAATAAATTAATTAGAAGTTGCTGAACGAGATATCCGTCAACCTCTAAACTAATAATAAACACTGTAGGTTCAGTCATTTTACACTCATTTTCGGCCACAAAAATAAGAAAACACAGCGCATTCAGTAGAAATTTAAGTCGATTGCACATCATTAAGCGCAGCCTCATGATGCGGCTTTTGAGAATAAAAGTATTCTTCAAAATGAATTCAGTACGAGACATAGGTAAGATAACCGCGGTTAGCATTAAGTGAATATACGAGAGCAACAGGGACGTTCTACCTGTCATCCATTAGTTCCGGCTTCATGAGACTGTATACTAGTGGAAGGAGCACTTAGAAGTGAGACAGTTCAATTGTTAGTACAAAATAATTCCTCACAATATTGTTCCACTAACCATTAAACACGTCCCGTCTCCGATAGGCTTCGTTATCCTCATCCATTTCACATAAGAGCGGGTATCTTGGGTTGAGAAAACGGAGGTGTCGTTTAAAGTTTTGCATGCTTGCAGAAATACGATGAAGACAGAAGACTTGTAAAACCCATCAATGAAGACCTCGGGTGTTTTTTCCCGTCTCACTATTAACCCTTCTCAGTCAAACTGCGGGACAGCTAAGGCATAGTATAATAAACCATCACGATCTTAGATGAGTCACTAGACCCTCTCACAAGCACTAGTAACCTATCTCGTTAATAAAAAGCTTACCACATACATAAGTCGAATAAATCGACCACTATCGTCATTCTACTTGAGTAAAGCATCCCAGTTAGGAACTCCCATATAATAGGTTACAGCGGTTTCCTTTCTATTTGCCACCCCAAGAATCCGTTCCTATTTGACGTCACACGGAAAAGTTCGCTTTATCCAATGAAATAATACCGGTAGACCGAAAAGCAAATTTCAAGCCTTTTCCGTTTATATGTAATATACCACAGAAATCTGAGTTCTACTTTGCATTAAAGGGCTAACAGATACAGCGTATAATGCATAGAACTCATAAAAATGTGTTACGACCCATAAAAACTGTAGGACGTCTACAAGACATAAATTCTATTGCACAATGAACAATATGACAGACACAAATCCCCCACTATATGCATTTTTCAATTTATTCAAGTAATTTCCACTCAAAAAGCAACCAAAAAACAACCTCCCAACAAGTTTCCATGTCATTTTCCACACAAACTAGTCAGCTGGATTTGGTCCTATAACCTTGCCCAATAACCCACCAACTTGTAAACCGGCGCGTCAACATACCGCTAGTTTCAATCTCTAGGCCGTATTTATCTGAATGGTGAGTAATAATGTGTATTTATCCAGGAGAGGGGAATTATGTGGTTATTAGACATAAGTGAGCCAAGCGAATAATTCTCCTGATATTATTCTGTAATTAGGACGCACGATAATTCAAATGAACTTATCAGAAACATCCAGATTTTTCATAAAGCAAAGGAGATATGATATTCTTCCACTTTTCACCACTTAATTTACTGTTTTTGTCGTTTGGCATGTTGTTTATTTTTCACTCAATGATATATATGTTAACTGAATTGCTCACGTTCCACTTCATTGGATTTGCTTCCATGGCCGTGGAAGCAAATCAATTCCGGAATAGTTTCATCCCTATATAATTTCGATCAAGTCCCCTGTCGGCTAAAGTTCACCCCTGTTTAAAACTGATTGATGCAAATAACAGGTAAGGTTTATTAGGAAAAAGTTGTGCATTGTAAGTATTAAAGTGTTTCATAGGTGAAGCACAACTCCGTCAAATAAAACTATTGTCTACTGCTCGGCTGGTATAAAACAACTTATGTAGTTGGTCTTCAGGTGTCCGTTATTATCACCATATGAGCAGCTACTTATCAAGATATCGATACTTTCTGATATCATTCTTGTTTTCACCCCGAAATATCATTCGGGAGTCAAAACCTGCCTGCGTGGTATAATTCCACTGTCTATATGTTGTTGGAAGAAATATGGTTAGAATTGTCGTTATTAGTTTATCTGAGTGCCTTGGAAATTGGATCCCTTAATATTAATTATCAGTTCTGTCATTATCAAATTAGGATTCTGCCTTGTAGATAATTTTGAAGGATAAATCGCATAAGGTTTAATGATCTAAGAACATGTTCACAGATAATGAATTTCGAACATAATATGCTCAGTTTCTGGTTTATGCCTTTTAAGTGTAGTACAAGTTGTGGTAACCCATATTTATGGAGAGTCTTATAGGGTTTACTAAAGTTCTCCCTGTGTTAATAAAACTTAACTCGTCCATTATGCACGGTCGTGGTCTTCAGATTTAAATTCAGATTTATTGGTTGAGGATAGAAGGCTTGGAGCCTATGTCAGTCCTTTTCTAGTAAATTTCTGTGCTTGTCCGAAAACCCTTGAATGAATCAGTTGAGGTTGCAGACACCACTTCTTCTGGGAGCCGGTTCCAATAGTTTTTAACTCAGCGGGAAAACCAGTACTTCACAAAAATATGGTTTCTTCTTGGCTTTTGAACTCTCCTGCTATGTCGCCTAAGTTGTTCCGACCTGATGGAAAGGGGGGGGAGAGAATAGGTCAGGTCCGTATTCATTATTTAACATTTTAAACATTGTGATTAAATCTCTTCTCTGCCTACAGTATGACAGGGAGAAGAGATTTAAACTGTCTAGTCTCTCCTGGTATGATAAATTAGTCATGTAGAGAACCATACATGTCTCCCTCCTTTGAACACTTTCTAGAATATGTGAGTCCCCTTTAAGACGAGGACTGGGTGCCTGCATACAGTATTCCAGTCTTGACCTCACCAGAGATGTATATAAGGAGGTGAGCATACCTCTGGTGATTCTAGTAAAGGCTCTGAAACCAGGTGCAGCCATCGTGCGACTTTCCGGCTTATGCCTTTAAAGCGTAGTATACGTTGTGATAACCCATATTTGTGAAGAATCACATAGGGTTTACTAACATCCCTCATGTGTTAATAAAAATTATCTCGTCCAATATGCACGGTCTTGGTCTTGAATAATACCTTAATTTTTGTATTCGTCTAGAGTAAACTAGTTTTATTCTTCTTGCTTCAGTAATGAAAGACAGGAAATAGAATCCATTGCAGTTTCTCTACTCATTAAAATCTAAATATCAAGATTTTGCAATTAGTATTATTGTCGTACACTGCTTGTTTTCTGTGTGGGACATGGTGTCGTGGACCAAAGTATGTTCATACACGCAATTGAAAAGGACAAAACAAATACCTACATGTATGTAGATATAAAATATTCAGTTCACTTAGTTTAGTATACACAAAAATGGAGTTATTTGGAAAAACTATAATAGTCACAAAATATTCAAAATACAGACGTACAAAACGATATGGATGAAATTTTCCTTTTCTTGAGTATGCAAATACTCAACTACAACTTAGAGATACAGACGGCTGGAGAGCACTTGCATTGAGAAAAGCAGATTGGAATAAAGTAACCTGAAGTGGTGGTGTAGATCGGTACGAGGCAGAGTTGGTATGCAGATGTGATATGTGAGCAGCTAGAAGAGAGGATTCCTCCGTTGCGCGTGGGGCAAGGTTGTGTCCTTTTCAATCTCACATAACAACCACAATTTTCATTGGATTCCTTATATTTTGGCGAACGTATAATTTGATATGTTTTTCAGCCGCCACAATGGGGCTTTGGTGGAATATCTCCACTACACGTCATTCCTCACTATCACTCCACGTCTCTTTCTCACGTTAGGTGGTATAATAAGGTAAGTAATTTTGGCGTTAAGCGTAGAGTGTTGGGTAAAGAGGGAAAATCAATCGACGAGGCTATTAAGTTACATAGATTGAGATGGCTAGGTCACGTGCTGCGCATGCCTAACCGCCGCCTCCCCCGATGGGCATTACTAGCTGATTTAGGTGCAGGTTGGAAAAAAGTGGTGGCCAAACAAAAACATAGCCTCATCAATCCATGAAATCCTTGACAGTTAAACTGAGTCAGGTAGGGAGATGCAGACTTCCGGGTTGGGGCCCTTGGGACTCTAAGAATCAATGGCTGGAGACAATAGGTAATATGGCTCAAAATCGTTGTCAATGGCCAGCGCAGATGTATTCAGTCTCTGTAATCTTTCATATTCTTTTTTACCATTACCCATTCTGAATCATTCTTATACTTGTCAAACTCTGTCTGTCTGTCTGTTTTCGACATAGAACTTTGCACAAATGTGCGACAGTTCAAGTCGCCACATTCCGTGTAGCACGCGAAACAACAGAAGAAAGTACAAGAAAAGCATAATAGAAACAGTGAGCAGAGGTGTGAGACAAAGGAGTAATAAAGAAATACAAAACAGTTTCATTGGAGATCATAAGTCACAGGGAGTGGATGCATCTGCGCCACTGAGAACGATTTTGAGCTATGTCACCAATTCTTTCCAACCATAGATTTTTACCGTCCCGAGGACCCCAGTCAGGAAGTCTACACCTTTCTACGTGGCTTAGACCAACTGTTGTGGATTTCATTGACTGGTGCCAAGTTTTTGTTTGACCGCCGGTAGCTTTTTTCCAGCCTGACCCTATATCCGCTAACATTGCTCGTCGAGGGAGGCGATGGCTTGGCATACGTAACACATGTCCTAACCATCTCAGTCTTTGTAGCTTCACGACTTCGTCGATTGATTTCCCCTGTTTACCTAGAACTCTACACCTAACCTCAATGTTGCTCACCTTATTATGCCACTTTACACGGGAAATAGAGCGCAGGCACCTATGATCAAAGACAGCTAGTCTTTTCAAGTCTTCCACTCTCAGTGGCCAGGTCTCACAACCATAAAGGAGGACGGAGCGAACTGATGAGCAGTACACCCGCCGTTTGGTCGATAGTCGAACATCTTGTCTACGCCAGAGTCGGCGTAAACTGGCAAATGCGAAACGAGCCCCCTGTATTCGTGCTGAGATTTCGTCAGAGATCAACCCGTTGGGGCTGATGGTACTTCCCAAATAAGTGAAGCGGTCAACGTGCTCTACCACTTCACTTCCTATTTTTAAACTAGGAGTCAATGTAGTCCAGTCCTGTAACATCATCTTGCATTTGGCGGGAGCGAATCGCATGCCAAACATTCGTAGATTACAGCTCAAGGTGTTCAGAAGACTCTGTATTTCGTCAGCGTCTTCGCCTAGAAGGACTATATCGTCTGCATATTCCAAGTCAACGAGATTATTCCCCGGTAGCAAGTCAATCCCTGAGTCGCTGAAGTCACCTAGGGTTAAGTCCATTAACACATCTATGATGAAGTTGAATAGAAAAGGAGATAATGGGCATCCTTGACGGACACCACTGGTCGTCATCAGTTCAGATGACAGCTCGCCGTAAGCCCTCACCTGGCTGTATGAGTACGAGTAGAGTGCCTTAATCAGTGCAATATATTTTCTCGGGATTCCCTTGACAGCCAAGCATCTCCAGAGAACTTCCCGATCGACAGAGTCGAATGCTGCCTTTAGGTCAAGAAATATAATGACTGTTGGACGCCGGTAGGAATGACTATGTTCTAGAATCTGTCGGAGGGTGAAGATATGATCAATACACCCTCTTCCTGGTCTAAAGCCTGCCTGGCTCTCTCGTGTTTGTGCTTCCCGAGCACCACTCAGTCTACGCATGATTATTGAGCCTAAGACTTTAGATACTATATTAGTCAAGCTAATCCCTCTGTGATTATCACAGGAAGACTTGTCTCCCTTCTTGTATATGGGGATAATCAGTGACTTACACCAACCCGATGGGACTTCTTCTGATTCCCAGACGCTGCCTAGTACCTCAGTTAATCCGGACAGTAAGCTGTCTCCACCGTACTTAAATACCTCTGGCGTCATTCCATCAGGTCCCGCTGCTTTGCCTAGTTTCAGATTGGTGACAGCTTTAGTAACCTCAGTTAGTGACGGAGGACCTGTGTCTATATCCCATTCAGGGAGGTGTTGGATGCTCGGAAGGTTGAGCGTGGCTGTGGGCAAATTAAACTGCTCCTCATAATGCTCTTTCCAACGATCCAGTCGTCTATCCTGGAGCTAATTATAGTGCCATTTTTTTCCGAGATTGTCTCACTAATGATTTGTCTTCTCCCACCCGTTTCCCTGATGAGTCCAAAGAGTTGCCTGGTGTTGCCTATCCTCAAGCTTTCTCCATCTCTTTGGCTTTTGTCGCCCACCACTGTCAAACTCTATTGATTCTCTTCACTCATCTTCTTGTCTACCTTTGTGTGCTGTTTGGGACGTGGCAACTCGAAATACTGCTGCACTTCGGTGCCAAGTTCTATGTTGAA